ATGTTGCACTAACATCTGTAGCATGGTCAGTAGCAGTAGCTACTGACCATGCTACAGCAGTGAGCAGCAGAGGTGGGGAGAGGCGGGGCCATGGCTTCATCTTTATCAGGGAAATGATCGTATAGGACAGTGACCACCAACTGGCGGCCCGCGGGCCACATCCGGCCCGCCAGACATTCTCATCCGGCCCGCACGACGTGGGTGACTGGCGTTGGCGGAGTGGTTACTGCGTTCGCCCCCCACCCATTTTTTTTTACAACGTCTCGTGAGTAAGGTGCAGTACCGGAGCCCAACAGAGAGGCAGCAGCTGCGGGACAGTAGACTGCGTACTGCGAAACCTTCCCTTCCTTGAAGAAGAAGAAGAAGAAGTGATCCTTCGTTGTGAAGAGTCTGCTTTGTGCGCTCCGCACCACAGCAGCAGCCCCGCTGCGACAGAGTCCAACAGAGAGGCAGGAGCTGCGGGACAGTAGCCTAGAAGCAGGGTTGGGTTGTAACGGAATACATGTAACGGCGTTACGTAATCAGAATACAAAAATCAAGTAGGCTAACTGTATTCAGCTGGCGTTACATTTGAAAAACGAGTAATCTGATTACAGTTACTTTCGTAAACCTGAAGTGAATACATTTTGGAATACTTATTGGAATTATTGGTGGAAAAGTTTCCTCACAAAATGTAATATTCATTACCGGCAGAACTGTGTGCACACTGCAGGCGCTGCAGCATGTCTGTTGAGCGAGAGAGAGAGATGCAGCGTGTCTGTGAGGCCCCGCCCCCGCACGCAGATGAGAGAGAGATCTCTTTTAAAATATATTGAAAGTTAGAAACGGAGATGGTTAGATAACATGTGCAAGATAACGTTGATGTAGCATTTCTTTATTGTCGAAATGATGACATTTATAACGGGATCAAATCAAAGTGAATGGCCTGCTGCTGCCGAATGCTTGGGGCAAGTGACTGGAAACAGTTTTAAAAGTGATTACATCGTTTCAGATAATAATAATAATAAATAATAATGATAATTCATTCTATTTAGGGGCGCCTTTCAAAGCACCCAAGGACACCTTACAATTCATAACATATTCTAAGGAAAGGTTTTAAGACAGTACAAAGAATGCAGTCTGGGTGATGTTTTTGATGTGGGGTGCAGATGAGAGGGAGCTGTCCAGAATGACACCAAGATGTTGTGTTTGAGTTCTTGATAAGCCATTAAAACAGTAAAACAAGTGTCTCCTGCTCACCAAAACATACCCATCTGTTATGGAAAAAGAAAGTATTCTAAAAGTAACCTGAACACTTTTTTAAGACACGTAACTGTAACTGTATTCTGATTACTTTCAGAGCATGTATTCAGTATTCAGTAACTGATTACATTTACAAAGTAACCCTCCCAATCCTGCCTAGAAGTGATCCTTCGTTAGCGTGAAGAGTCTGCTAAGCTTTATGCAGTACCTGTACCCCCCCCCCCCCCCCCGCTGGCCCGCGATAGTGTCTATTGGATACATTTTGGCCCTTGGACAAATGTAGTTGGTGATCCCTGGTATAGGACGTACACACGCAGCCGTTTGGCCCCCCAGAGCGTCCGCAGATCTATCCACCTTGGGACCGTTATCGTTTTAGGGGTCCGTTACGGACTTGTGTGAAGGAACGGGCTATACGAAATAGAAAAGTAGCGGATACAACCCGTTTTGTTCCCGTGTAAACAGCACCTTAGTGTCTCTCTGGGTTTTGTCTGTTGAGAATGTAATGCGTCACTGTTGCCCTCTGTTGAGGACAAAGCTGAGATGTGATGAGACGAGACAGGGTTTCATAATAGATTGCACCATGAGGTTTATTTTCAAATAGGAGTGCTAATTAAATCACAAATGTCTTAAGCCTTAATAGGACACAATCTAATCCAATTTTATTCTTTTCAGCATTCGTGTCGTCCTTCAGCTCTAGATGCACAGAAGCCCAGGAAACCATGATCGCACTCCAAGTTTACCCTGCTCTGTTGAATAAATCTTTCAGTTCCCTCTTCATGTGTGTCTTATTTGAACAATACAACTTCTGACACTTCTTTGATCAGCGTCTCGGCCCTGAAAGAACACGCACACGAGAGAGAACATTGTGGAAAGGAAAAAGAGAGGTAACAAAACAAGATTATTCTTTGATCTAGACTGAATGAACAATAAGACTATACAACTACAAACAACCAAATGGCATCAGTGTTGGAAGGTTGTTAATCTATGATGATTCTTCAAGTGGATCTTTGCGATAGCAGCTTGGACATCGAGGTCCGATGAAGCTGTGGAAAGTGAAACAAGCCTTCTGAAACACTCGCAAAACATCCTTTGATTATTCTTCCAGTGGGGTTTGAGAACAAGGCTGCTTTAAAAGTTTTCACTGTAAACGTTAGTGTCCCTCCCAAGCTTGGGTGATGCTCTTTAGTTTCCAAAATGTAGACTTCAACTGGGTTGGACTTGAGAGAATAGCTACAGCAGCTTGTACTCAGCCATGTTGGACTCAGTTAGGCGGAACATGTTCCCCATCTGCTCAGTTCTGGCTCTGTAGCTAGAACACAGAGCCAAAGTAAGTGTTCCTCCTCAGTTGTTTGTGGTGATGAACAATGTGTGCTGTCTGTTGGGCAGATGTATAAAAGGACACATTATGTTGAAATGGACAATGGGCCTTTTGCTTGATCGACCTCAAAATTATTCTGATTTTAAATGTATTTCTTCAAAACACACATTTTGACTTTGATGTTCCATTTGTTGGATATGAGGTGAGGATTTTTGTAAAGTTAGGATCGATGATACTAAATGTTAGAAGGAGCGTTCAGACTTCCAATTGTAGTATAAGAAGTATTGACCAATCACGTTCACGCGGGATTTGGTTGAACACGGGTAAATAATCTGTGCGGAGAGCAAAAGAGGCGGAACGCATTTCCCATTATTGCACTCTAGGTACTTTTGGCTTTAGTCTGACAATAATTTAGCTTTCGATCAGCTAAAAAATAAACATTGTAAACCGGCTACTTGTGAAACATCTGGTTCACGTTGTCTCATTACGCCATCTTTGCGTCTCAGGATGATAATCAAACTGTAAACAATGACCACGAGAAAGGAAGTCTTGGCCCAATAGAGTCTAGACCAGGGGTGCCCAACCAGTCGATCCCGATCGACCGGTCGATCGCGAGGAGATTCCCAGTCGATCGCGAGATGTGTCTAAAAATAGAACAACAACATTCTGTGTTATCGTTAATGTCCTGTAACATAATGTTCCCGTGCCAGAATAATGCACTTGAACGCATCAAAGCTTTGTGATTGGCCGGCGTGACCCCATGTGTCGGGGCGTGGCTGGTGGGCAGTGCACTATTTCGCTGACGTTGTTGTCCGACCGTGTCAACAGGAGTGACAGTCCGCACACACACAAGACCGCAATTATGGCAGAAGCAAAAAAGCCCAAAATATATAATTTTCACTCCGAGTGGGAGGATGATTATTTTTGTATCTATTCCAATTCAAAGTCCATCTGTCTCATCTGCAATGCGAGCGTGGCTTTATCAAAGAAGGGTAATTTAGGAGCGGCATTTCAAAACAGTGCACAAACGCTACGAGACGGAATTCCCTCCTAATTCTGGCCTACGCTCCCAAAAGGGGAGGGGCCTGAAAGGACAGCTAAATGCACAGCAGTCCATTTTCACCAGGCCCAACAACAAGAGCAAGGCTGCTACCAGAGCATCTTATCGTGTCAGTCACGTTCTTGCGAAACACATGAAGTCTTTCAAAGACGGCGAAGTTGTGAAAGAAGCATTCCTGGAGGCTGCCGACGCGCTTTTGGGGGACAGTAAAAATAACAGAAGCATTTCAACAGGTTTTTGATATAATAAAAACTCAAGTTAGATACCGTTATTAATCAGCTGTAAGTTTTAGTTTGTTTGAACTTATTCATTATAATTATTGTACAAAATGGTATAAGAATGCAAACATTAAGATCTGTTCTGTTTAAATTGATTATAGTCTATTATCAATTCAGGTTAAGAAACTAGTGTTGCTTGCATCCTATTTTAAAGGCATTTATTTTTATATTCTACTAAAATGCAACAAAAGGGTTTGATTCTATTAATTTTGTCTTTTTTTAAATGCACTTTGGCAGCAGATTCCTGTTTAGCTTCAGATCTGAGTTGTCTTATTAGTAAGCCTAATTTATACTTTTGTAGCAAAACTATTTTTATATAATGGCAAAGAAAGGGTTCAGAGTATTTTCTTTTTTCCTGTGTCATATGTGGCAGCACTGTTCAATGTTTCTTGAAAACATTACCCACTGTAGTGACGTGTGAATAAACACCAACTCCGTATCAACAACACTGTTGTGTAACTTCAGTTAAATACTTGTATGTGTGTAGATTAGAAAGAGGTAAAATAAAGGATCTGCAGTATTTTATGGAGTATTAATCGTACGAAGGTCAGTTTTATTCAAGTAGAAGTGTGTATTTACCTGGGAGGCTGTCAGTAATGGCTACCTCTCTATTTGGACTGGTAGATCTCGGCAGACTGGCAACTTTAAAAGTAGCTCTCGGTTCAAAAAAGGTTGGGCACCCCTGTTCTAGACCATAGCATGAGTCCTGGGATTGAGATTGGAGCAATCAAACTGGTCAATGCAGCTGCACTTTTTCTGTTGCGACAATTGGAAGTGTCTTGCCGTCATACTTTGTACCATTGTTGTTGAGGTGCTTTGGCAGTCCTGATTTATAATCAGCAGTTTACTAATTCATTCTGCTGAAAGCACAGCGGTTTGAACTGAAACTACCATTTACTACTGTCCGGGGCAATAATGTAATGTATTTATCACTGCAAACTACATACTAAAATGGGCCTTTAGAATCATATGTGTGCAGGAGAGAACCTTCATTTTGACTTTATGAATACAATGGTTCACTGAAGAAAAAAAGGCAGTAATAAAATCCATGAATAATTAAGCTATTAGATCATTTCAAAAGGAGAAACTCGCACACAAGAGCTACAGAAGAGTCATTTATTACTCCATTAGAAGAAATACAAAGATGGCAGAGAAACTGTGATCACATTAGTCCTCTGAAAATAGAAAGAATGCTGCTCTCACCGAGAAACCCCTATGTGGAGATGAATGGTGACCGTAGAGACAAGGGGAAACACCAGGTCACTTTCCGTGAGATATCCAGCATGTTTTAATTCCTAGACTCACACATTAAGGCTCGATTTGCTACAGCAGGGCTCTAGAAAACACGAGACACTAAAGGAGCTTTCCTCAGATTAACAACCTCAGCGCTTCAACAACTGTGTGCTCAATGTCATTTCTCTCATTCTCGATATCTATGAAGATACTCTGTGGTTGCATCACACTTCTCCTAGCAACCGTGGCTGACGTAATCTACTGAAAAGGTTCCGACTGCACTAATAATAGCCACATTCAGGATGTAACAATTGAGTGCTTCTAGTGGACATGTCACCAGGTAAATAAGACTGAGTGTTTCTCTGGTACTGAGATTGAATACCCAGCAAGCAGGCATGACGCAATAAGTCAATTGATGGTTGTACTTTTACAAACAGTACAGAAATGAGTTTATATGCTATTTTTTTTTTGTTGACACAATTGTAAAAACCACAAATCAAGTTTTTTTGTTTAAATTCTGAGCTTTCGAGGTGCTGGAAGGTATTTTGTTTTAAAGAGCTGGCCCAGGTGTTTTCTCCAGCTTCAAGTATTTATGCTAACCGTCTCCTGGTTGTTGCTACATTTTTAATGGACACCCAGGTGTATTGGTCTTCCCCAAATCTGCCAAGTGTATTTTTATAACATCAAACTACTGCTTTACATTTAGGCTGTTTGGCTCTTGGCAGAGAATGACTTTTGTTGCCTGTACTCTATAAACTAAATATAGTACGCTTTATGGCCCGGAGTTATTTTCTATATCTAAAATAAGTTGTTGAGGTTTTGAGAGTAGCTAACCCTGGGAACCCTCCTCGGTCTCTAGTATTGCTGATTCTTTTCAGTCCATCTCTGGGGGATTTGTACGAAGTGTGAAGTGAGCAGAGGCTGAGAGAGAAAAGAAGCATGTTGTTACTAGTGTATCTGCCCTGAGCACCACACACACCACAGACAACAACTAGCCAGCCAGTAACAAACTCTGGGTGACATGACAGGCCACTAAGCAAAACCATATCTCATAAATACGTTCCTTCAGAGGATACAGTTTTCACTAATAAAGCGTTTGATATAAGACACATTCAAGTACTTCCATTTATTTCAAGGATATTTAATTCAAAGAACAATGAGAGCGGCAGTTAAACTGAGCTCTAGGAGTGGTGCTTCTTGTTTGTAGTGTGTGTGTGTGTGTGTGTGTGTGTGTGTGTGTGTGTGTGTGTGTGTGTGTGTGTGTGTGTGAGGCCCAGAGGGTGTCTTGCGTTCTGGAAAAGTCCAGTCCTTGGATGCGTGCGAGTCTACACTTGGTTGAGGAAGTGAGCGCGCCCGTTGTCCTCCATGCGGCGGGTGAGGATCTCGCAGCCGGTCTCCGTCACCAACAGGGTGTGTTCGAACTGAGCAGAGCGCTTCCCGTCTCGGGTCACCGCCGTCCAGCCGTCGGGCCACGTCTCGTCTTGCCAGCCACCTGAGACATGACACACTCACGGATTTAGCTTACACAGCATCAATTAAACAAAGCTGTCGAAACCAACACTTGGAGCCTGACTCACTGGACACCTGTGAGGGTGATTTAAAGCATGGCTGGCTCTGCTCAATTACACATTAAACCTCTTGGTGTGGAAAAACTATTGGATCCTTTGAAATACTAGCCGAAGTATTAACAACCAAATGTACTTAAAAGTATTACAATTTGTTTGTCAATTTGAAATACTTCTAACTGTGATAATACCAATAATATATTTTTAGTTAGTTTTCATCGTCAATATCTTTACTATAACTTAGAAACCTCTATATATATTGTAATATACACATTTTCACTTATTAGTTCAATATTGTAGAATAATGTGCACATTTCTACTCATAATTATCTTTATTCCATTTTAACTCATGGCTAATTTTTACTCTACCTTCTTGTGATTATATAAGTATATTTGATTTGAATCAAAAATTATTCTAAAATGGAGCAAGAATACAGTATAACTAAAGTATTGTGATTATAAGAAATGCAGATTAGTCTGTTTTACCAACTAACTTGCCATGAGACTGTTATATGTCTATCCTAAAAAATGTGTGTGTCTCAAAATTCACACAACCTGAAGAATGAAAGGTTCATTTCACCACCATTCTAAAGACAAATAGACCATATAAAACCTTATAATGTATGTGTAAAATGCATTGTGACAAAGCTGAAATCATTTCCCTTGCTTATGAAAGCCTACATATAGCAGGTTTTCTGGAGGACAGCGTGTTTATGTTTACTCTTTATTCTTCAATATCTGTCTCAAATAATTGCTACAATTGAGCACATTGTGACGTTACAATTATCATAATTGTTCACATTACTCAAACAAAGGCAGTACCACTCACCTTCACATATCATGGGTTCAATGGTGAACACGTGGCCAGGCTTCATAACTCCCACTGCTTTGTTTTCTGGGAAACATTGAATAAATAAATCATTCTTTTGTACGAGAGCAAGCAACAACAAAAAAACCTTCATACATTTAAGACATGTACCATGGCAGGTGTGTGACTACTCACTGGCATAATGTGGCACATTGGGAGCAGTGTGGAAAAGTCTATGGATGCCGTGGCCGCAGTAGCTGCGCACCACAGAGAAGCCGTTAGCTTGAGCGTGCTTCTGTATGATGTTCCCTAATTCTCTGTAGCGGATACCAGGCTTCACTGTGAAAAAAGGTTAGCATGAGGGTTATCGGTAGGGATGCAAAAAAAAACAAAAACATTTAGATTATTGATTCATCAGCAGATTTCTAGACTAATTGTTTGGTATATAAAATGTCGGAAAATTGTCCAGCTGTCAGAGCTGCAACAAGCGTTGACTATTCCTGTAGCCTAACAAAACGTAACTGTAGTTAAAACAATTCTGAGGCTGACAATTAACACACAAAAAAATCTTGTAATGAGTGTACCAATTGGAAAAACAACATTTATGATGACCAATAACTTTGACTTGAATTTGTTCAATGTAAACTTAATAAAAGTTGGTATTAAAAGTTCATTGTGGCCCTTGGAGACAGGTCCCAAACAGTTAAATACCGTTTAAAAGTTCAGAAATAACTTTAAATCTCAACTTCTTCTGGAATATCAGCGCTCTCTTGTGGACAAACTATGTAAGGGCGACACCTTTTAGAAATGGACAGTTCTGAACCGCAATTCTTGTTATTTGACATATATGCTGATACCGACATCTTATTATACTCCACACAGACTGCACGACTATACAAATGCAGTAAGGTGGGTTTACTTCCGTCTCCCTGTTGGAGCAGTATTCTCTGTGCACACATGGGTTAAAAAATAAGAAAGCTTGAATTCCTACCGGAGTCGATGGCTTGCATAAGGCATTCATACGTGGTCTGCACCAGTTTCTTCGCTTCTTCCTCCACCTCGCCCACATAGAAGGTTTCATTGAGGTCACCATGGAAACCGTTGTGGTAGACGGTGATGTCCACTGTGTAAGAATGAGCGCCATTGTGTTACAAGACAAATTGGATTCCATTATGTTTGACACAAACAAAGTACTGTAATGAATAACCTGAGATGTAATGGTATGAATGGGTGACCATCCCATCCCCCCCCCCCCCCCCCCGTTGACGTTCGCGATACAGAGGGCTTCATCAAATAACTTTGAGTGGAGCCAGAAGTTGGAGTACCAAACACTGACTCCAGGTACTCATCTGAGTACCTCACTGAGAAAGTGATGTGCACCCCTGGACATATAAAAGCTTCAGACATTAACAAGGGGGGTATATATGAACATATTTGATGTTAATAGAACAAAAGCTTGTGTTAACCAGAGACATCATTTCAGGCATCTAAGCAAAACACATACAAAAACACGTTGTCTTCGAGACGAGGTAATCGGAAGTGGTAACATTCCTGGTTTCAGGACTCATTCCTGCACCACTCTATTACCTACAGCAGATTATGGTTAGCATGTCCCCAGTTTACAGGAAACAGACAAGAGTACGAGCACACTACTTTTGAGATGAGGAACAGGAAGTGGTTCAATGCTAACTCATTTCCAGATTGTAGGACTCGTTCCTGCATCATTCTATTTGCAAGGCCAAATTACTGATGAAAATGGAATTGCTAGAGGACAAACTGGGACTCTTCCCACTGAAATATAGAGCAGAGGATCTGACAAGCACATCCCCACTGCTAAAGGTTGATGAAACAATTTGTCTTGTCGGCGCATGCAGCGAGAGATGAGTTGTTGGCCAGCGCTCCATCAGACACTCTGAGGGGGGTGGCGGATGGAAGACATCGCCTTCGCAGAAATATTCATAAAGAGGCTAAAATTGGCCAAACTCCCGCTGTTACCATTTCAAGATGCTGGTACAACCATTTGTCAAGGCAGAGGAATCGATTGTTCCCCCCCACTCTCTTTAATAAAACATTTCCCTTCATCCTAATTTAGTTTGACTGTTTATAGGACATGGTTTCTTATACAAAATGTTACAAAAGTAAGAAAATGTGGGCATTTAAAAACTTACGGAAAGATTAGTGTTTGTTTGGTAGAGATCTGTCATATAAAGATGTTCAGGACGGTCAAGAAACTCGTTATTTTAAGTCCAACATCAGTTATTTTTTGTTAATTCTAACAGATTCCTGATAGTGAAGCAATCATGAGGAAACAGCTGTCGGTTACATTATTGGCATACCGTTGAGGATATCTCCGTCTTGTAAGGGTCTCCTGTCCGGGATTCCATGGCAGATGACTTCATTGACAGATGTACAGGAGGATTTAGGGAAGTTGTAGTAGTTGAGAGGGGAGGGGTAGCAGTTCCTCGCTATGCAGGCCTGAAAAGACGAGGCATGTTAGTTACAGATATAGAAAGACAAGAAAACCTTTGTGTTTGGGTAAGATAAGTTTGTATGTGTACCAGATGTACAGCATGGTCGATTTCTTCTGTAGTAACCCCCACTTTCACCAACAAGGCAGAGATGTCCAGAACTTCTCGTGCAAGCTGCAAATAACATAGTTAAATTAAACAAAAAACTAACAATGCACACCATGGCAACATCATGAGAACAGCAACAGTAAAGTGTTACCTTGCTCACTACCCTCATGCCTTCAATGTCCTCGGGACAAAGGGACTTGATCTGTGACGTCCCTTTCAGAGACTGCTCGGACTCAGATATCCCTGAGGAAAGGAAACAAGGAGAGACAGTCAGGTATTTTGAAATATTGCAAACACAGGTTTATGATACACGTTTTGTTCTGCATGATAATATCCATATATTAACGGAATTTCATGTAAATGCCATCCGCAGAAGTAAAAATGATGCTATAAACTAACTAGTTCATGGTCGCACGGCTGCACATCACCACCGCTAAGATAAAAGCGGCTAACGTTTGGTGTGATGACGTTTAGTAGTCTCATTTGGAAAAAATGTAGCAACCACATAGAAGCTTCGGAAATGTCCCAATGGGGGTTTTATTGACATATTTGACCAGAAGTGGTAATATGCTTACTCATTTCCAGATTTTAAGACTTATTCCTAAACCACTCTAAGACCTTGCTGCTGTAATTCAATCATCTTTTAAAAGTAGAAGCAACTTGGACCATCAGAGCCAGATTTTTTGTAATCTAGGGTTCCCCATTGAAAGTCAGTCAGGGAGTTGATCATCCCTGTTCCTCCCCGCAGGGAGAGAGGTCGCAGCCAGCTTTAAGTCAGAGGGCCGGTTAACGGAGAGAGGTGCTGTAAGGACACGACTGGAGATGCTAGCACCAGGGAGCGGTCCTAGAAGGGGATCCTCCCATACCCAGTATGTCACTTATGGAGAAGATTATGAAGGAGAAAAAAGGAACTAATAGTCGTATTGATTAACATTTTAAAACCCTAACATACTACTCATTGATTTAGTTTTAAAATCATAAGTGACAGTTGATAATATGTGACCCGCTCTATCGAAATCAGTCGGAAGTCGCAACGGCTCATTTCAAAATAAACGTGGATTTACGTAAAAAACTATTTTTTCGGGGTTTGTGTGTTTTGTTTGATTTTAAACAAACAAAGTCTTGGCTTTCAGAATATGAAACTTTTATTTCAAAACTCACACGATAAATACATTCTTTAAGCTTGTAAAGGGAAGATGACAGGCAATCTGCTCTTCCGCAGCGCCGCCCCCCCTCCCTCCGGGAATGTACGCATATAGTAATCATAAATAACACTGCAGGGTCCGTTACAGTTTGTTTTCATCTGATTTCAATTAAACAAAGTCTTGGCTTTCAGAATATTAAACATTTTTCGGCAAATTCAGATGATAAATACAACTTTGAAGCTTCGGCATAATTACAAGCGGAGAACGGAGTAACTTGACGTCACAGCAGGCATAACAACAGCTGGTGTTTCTCGTGAAGGTTTTCCCCGGGAAACAAACACAATACACACAAATGCAAAATTACACAAAATTACACAAACAAACACACACACACACACACACACACACACACACACACACACACACACACACACACACACACACACACACACACACCACACACACACACACACACACACACACACACACACACACACACACACACACACACACACACACACACACACACACACACACACACACACACACACACACACACACACACACACACACACACACACACACACACACACACACACACACACACACACACACACACACGCGAGCTTCCCCCAGACCAGTAATCCAAAAGAAAATATCTTCCCTCCGTAGTATTTTGATCATTTGCTCCGCTAATAATCAGATCGATGGATTCCAGAGAAGAGAAAACTTTGAAGGCCTTTTTCTCAAAATGATGATTCGGTGATAGTCATTATATAATGTGACATATATTGCTTAATATTTGAAGTACAAAAACAATCCTGATATCATTAGAAAGCTAGGAATATCCTCTTTCCAACAGTGTATTCAACTCAAAATGTGTCTTCGGGTCAATGCGACTGATTTCGATAGAGCAGGGTCACTCTCAGACATGTCATTGTCTGAGAGCTGGGTTTAACAAAATGTAAATGGTCAATTAGTCAGCGTTTGGCTTTGCATACATTTCTTATCCACACTTGTGATGTTTAAGCTATAAGATGATACATTTTGAACATGAAAAGTTAAATAAATAGTGGATTTATAACAAAGAACAAAAGACATACATAACCAAGCGGAAATTAAATGACATTTCTCTAAATACATTAAATGTGAACTTAAAAAGTGAAAAATGGCAAGAAGTATTTGAGACTCAAGATGTAAACAAATCCTATAATGAGTTTGTAAGGATTTTCATGTAAAACATGAACGAATGTTGTCCATATATAAAAATTAAGATTTGCAAAAAGAATAATAATGACTCAAAACCCTGGTTCGCTCATGGACTGAAAAACGCCTGTTGTAAGAAAAATGCACTCACAGGAAATGTTTGAAAAGTAAAAGCACTGAAGATGAAAGTCGTTATAAATTGTATAAAAACAAATTGACTACAATCCTTAGAAACTGTGAAAAACGATACTTCTCTGAACAATTTGAAAATGCCATAGGAGATATGAAAACCACTTGGAAGGTAATAAATAGTATAATTAAGAAGAAAATAAATGACAACAGAAATGAATTTAAGAAATTCCAAATCGAAGGAAAAACCCCAACAGATGTTGCAAATAGCTTTAATGAGTTCTTTACTGAAACCTGGCGAGTACAATCAGTCCAACTTCATGGAAAGTTGATGATTCCCTGAAAAATTGCAACCAACAGAGTGTGTTCTTGAACCCAATAACAGAAAAATAATTGCTTGATATTGTCAATACTCAACACAGTAAACAGTCCAAGGATTATTTAGGACTTAGTATGAATATTGTTAAACAAGTTGCACCAAACGTTGTAGCCCCCCCCTAGTAAATATATGCAATAAATCGTTCCAACAAGGTATTTTCCCCAATGAAATGAAAATCGAGAAGGTGATAAAACATTTTTTCAGGTTTTTCAGGTTTTCAAATCTGGTGATAAATCAAGTCTTAATAACTATAGACCCTTTTCTTTACTACCACCATTTTCAAAAATCTTGGAAAAACTCTTCAACAACCGTCTGGAGTCATTCCTCAGCAAATGTAATATACTATGGCCAATATGGATTTCAGAAAAATCACTCTACTTCTTCAGCAGTAACTTAACTGGTTGAAGAAATTACCAACACCATTGAGAAAAAAATGATTACAGCTGGTATATTCCAGGGATGCAAACACAGGTGGTGAAAAAAGAGAGAACTATTCGAAGCAGAAAAAAACAGCGTAATATACCATCTGACAAAGGCCTGTGCTATAATGCTTCAATTAACTGCTATTCTTTATAATATACTCAGATCAATAGGAGACAGAGATGTTAAGTTAGAAATCAAGGGGTTTTATTATTATTTACAGGTAGACATTATCAAGGGTGTAACTTTGGTCCTCCGCAATGAAACATATATATTATCATTATATATAATGAGTGTGCAAACTTATCTAGTATCTACGGAGCCCCCCTGGTGACATTGGTGAGAAAAATATTAATACGTGGCCACATATTAATAATGCGTGGCCACAAGTAATTCGTGGGAACACAATAATTATTACGCAATAACTAAATCCAGATAGTCTATAGAAACTGATGACTGAGTGACAACTGTGAGGGAATAATTGTGTCTTTACTCCTAGATATTTAACCTTATTACCTGTTGACGTTAATAACCAACCAATATTCTGTTATCTCCTTTAAGGAATGTGCTCCAGCACTTGAGTGTCAGTTTTATGGCCTGATGGGGGGGGGGGGGGGGGTTTACGACTGTGGGAATGCTGGTTTCTAAACACCACTGACAAGTGATTGAGTATTTCTAGTTGGGGGTTATCTCCTCTAGCTCCACAGATGTTTACGCCTCCCCCAATATGCTGATTAACTCTCTGTAAACTAGTTAAAAGGTCTATCGAGAGATAGGCTGATCAGAATTGACATGACAACCCACCCGTGCAGTCAGAACCTTTTGTTGCTGTGACTTGTGATATGAATTCTCCGGCCGTTTGACTTGTAATAAACTACCAGTGTTTGACATCAAAGCTCCAACTCTCCTCGTGTCTCTCTGAGTCCTGACTCTCCATTGCTGCAGAAGTTTCCCTTACAACAACCATAGACAACATTAGCTAAACTCTGTACCGTAGGCTACGGCTAATATCGCGAAGCATGGATCATTTTTTATTTGATTTGGGTATGAATTATAATGATATTCTGCAATCCCTTGCAGTTAAGCACAGTGTCATCCTTAGCTAAAAGCACTTGATTCGGCTGCTGAAAATGCATGGTTTGAAACGTAGTTGAGTAAAGTTAGAACGATATTGGCAGATTCGGATTTCACGGATCAATAACTCATGAACAAAACGTTATTCAGACACAAATGACGTCTCCCAAGTACCGTGGTAAGGTTGACAACGAACTACAATCACATGTTGATCAAAAAAAGCCAATATGCGCCGTCCTCGCTCCGAGCTGGACACATTACATCTGCAGCCGGAGAAGAAACGAGTGCTCAGGGACCGTCTGCAAAGTGCAACTCCGAAAAAAGAGAATATAATAATAATAATAATATTCAATCACTTCACTATTCTACAGTATATTACTACCAAACTCATTACACACATCAATAGTCTTCTGTTGCTCATACTACAGAGAGTTTGGAAGAATATGGTTTGGAATAATTTTGGTGAATATTTATAGTGTAAAATAGTAACGTTATTGAAGATGATGCCATATTTATTGAAGATTTTACACTATAAATATTCACCAAAATTATTCAAAAGCACATTCTTCCAAACTCTCTGCTGTAGTCTGACCAACAGGAGACTATTGATGTGTGTAGTGAGTTTGGTAGAAATATACTGTATAATAGTGAAGTGATTGAATATTATTGTATTCTCTTTTTTCGGAGTTGCACTTTGCAGACGGTCCCTGAACACTCATTTCTTCTCCGGCTGCAGATAGAGACCAATGTTATAGAGGCTTCTCAAGACTCAAATGTCCCCTCCTCGACTCCTCGGTCCTCTGGTAGTGACCCGGAAATTAATTTCAGCGCGCCATTTTGAAGGACATCTCATTTCTCTAAATGCACACCGAGGACCGAGGATCGAGCGTCGAGGAGGCTCTCTGGAGGAGCTCTAACCGAGGAGACACTGATGGTTCCTCCACGGCTCCTCCGCGGATGCATTTCCGGGAACGGTGGAGGCGTGACGCACGGCCGGACTTATCTCAGCCAATGACAGCTCTGCATGCATCCCCTGGATATGATTTTAGAAACTGCTTTCATCGCGTCGCGATGTTTCCAGAGAGAACAGCTGTAAGGTCCGTGCAGAAAGCAGAGCAGTGTGTATAATATATATCACTCAGTATAACAGGCCTACTCTCTTTATTTGCTTTAGTTTAGTAGATAACTACAAACAAAGAGTCGATATTTTTCTAAGACCATTTAGTGCTTCACATAATAAAATACACAACGGCTGTATCCTGATTATGCTTTAGGAGCTGTAGGTGTGTGTAGTACAGTATGTAGGTGTGTGTTGTACAGTGCGTAGATGCGGCGGACAGACGGTCTCAGTTGGTTTGGTGTCCTCTGCTTACTTTTAATAGGCTACTTGTAAATACAACTTTTGGCCCGTAATTTCAATTCCCCATTTCAGTAACCAGAGAGCGGGGGGGGGGGGGGGGGGGGGGGTGGATATATCCAGTCTCTGATTGTGTTACGTTATTATGAGAGTGCTGAGCTCTCATACTTTAAATTGTATATATTTATATAAATATATTTGTGTGTGTGTGTCCGCATCTGTAGCCTGTTATTGTCTCATTATACCGCACTCTCAATGAATTCAAAGTAAATATGTGGGGGAACAATGTTCAGCTGATCTAACAGAGATTATAAAATACAGCGCTATGACAAAACACTCGACAGCTGATGCAGCTGTTGCCACGTAATAATGAACGGACGTCGCTTTAAAATGACTGCTCAGAGGAGAGGAGTTCTCATTTCTTTAAACGTCTGCTGCTTCCCCTCCTCTCTCCTCGGTCCTCTGCTCGCATCTCCTGTGGGCGGGACTAAGTCTCGAGGAGGGGAAATGTAAGAATTGAGAAGCCTCTAATGTCTCCAGTTTGGAGGACAGCACGTATTGGCTAACTTCTCAGTTTGTTTGTTTATTTATTTAATATTGTTTACATTACTTTTTATTTATTTTTTCCTTCTTATTAATTTTCATCGTTATGCGGTTGAATTATTATTTCAGCCTGGAAATTGCCTTGTAATATTTGTATTGGTGTATATGAGTGCATTTGTGTACTTATACACCTGAACATATGGTGCTTATGTCTATTCTGTGTATGTGTGAACATAATATGAATGTAAAAAAAAGTCACTTGAAAATAAGTGTCCACAATGTTTATATGCATATATTAGTATATGCATATACTATTATAATTTATTTGCCAAGTACATGTCTAAGTATTTTCGTTTTCAAAAAAAATAGTCAACTGCTATTGACATGTGCAGAAAATGACCTTATATCTAGTTTTTCATATATATATATATATATGCATTTATTTATTTTTTCCCTTGTTTTTCTTTATACTCCTTAATTTCTATACGTTTTTGACGCAATAATGCCAATGTTATATTAGGATGATTCACGGGAGGGCTACTTCCCATAAGCTATGCTTCAGCCCTCCCGCTTCTACTAATTTTGTTTATCTTTGTGTGTATGAATTATACTTTATTTATTTTTTGGATGGATTAGTAGAATAAATAAAAAAAGATTTCCAACAAAAAAATCAAACTTGAAAATGGGAATTTGAAACATGTTCCGTTTGTTAATATCTGCATAAATACCACCCATTCAGGCTGCCAACTACAAAATTGCCAGGAAAAGTAAAGCTTTGCCTTTTAGTTTGATTTAGTGTCACAGCTGTGGAACTCTTTGCTTTGAGATTGCTCTCATTGTCTTTTAAATCCCTCATCTAAAATCATCTCTAACTTAAGGCCTTTGTTATGCTCTACATCGAAACATTCTTCTGTTATGGCATATTCTAACCAATATAAATGCTTCTTGCAACGCTACAGTACTGGTCCCTTTAAAGACACTCGCATTGAGAAGGACAGAAGCACAGGTGTCAGTGCAGTCAGCAGCACTTTACTACCTGCATTTTCACTATAATTTAAACACAATATTTGTTTAACTGAAAAGCATAGCAGACAGTATATAAAGGCACTGGAGTAATCAACAATTCACTGATGTATAATGTATCAACTCAAGATGATTGCTGGTTGAACAGTTGCCTAGCAACAACAGGTTTGTGTAGCAGTCAAAGACAGTGCTCTTCTTGACCTGCAGCGCTGACTTGAGTGCAGCGATCAATTAGACTTACTCACGCTTTGATACAGCCGCTCAGAAAACAGGAAAGCCATCAGAGACCCACTCTGTTATAACGTCTTTATAATGGTAGGGTCCATTTCCTTATATGTTCATTAGATTACAAGTAATATCAAAGGTAAATTATATAAAATATTAACAGTTCTAGTATAGCTTTCAGCTCACCAACAGCACCGTGTTTAAAAAACATTAGCCTGAAACAATTGTGCTTTGGTCCCTGAGTAGGCATCCCAGTAGAATGAGAGGAGACTGTAACCATGACTACCTGAGTGTGGATCTATGCAGTCAGATATCATGGATGTAGAGGTTGCCATGGTTGCAAAATTAATGACTAGCCCAGAGTAACAGGAGTAAATACACAAGGTTACAATGAGGTTATTAACACAGAAGATCAAACTGGTCATAAAAACTGAGTGTGACATCATGCCGGTTATTTAACCTGCGATGAATCTGAAACCAATAATGGGAGATTAATGAGCTGTTTAACTGAACAAAACTGATCCCAGATTTAAAAGAAATATCATCATTCAAAGATAACTTTGAATGATTCTTACGTGTTAAAATACTAAAAGAACTAAGGAATTGAATGAAATGTTAAAATACATATTCTGCACATTTTCTAGTTCATATTTGTATCTCTACTGGGACATGTCTCCATGATTTAATGTTAAAAAAGCTCTTTATTTTTCTCATACTGCCTGTGCTGCAGCATCTCTTTTCACCCTCTGTCTGAAACCAGAGCCCAGTCTGCTCTGATTGGTTAGCTGGCCGTCTCCGTTGTGATTGGTCAACTGCTGAGAGATGTCCGACCCTTGGCCTATAACGTAACATTTGTTGGAGCGCTAGCCAATAGAAGCATGAGTGTTTCTTAGTGTGTGGGAGAGAAACTCCATCTGGACGGAACTTAGCGATTTTAGCCTTTGCAGACCATTTACATGCACAAAAACCTATGTGAAAAAAAAGACAGGAAAGACACCCCCAAAAAGCATTATAAGGCCTGTTTAATATCGATGCAAAAAACGGAAAAAAAAACTCAAATTATATAAAAGCCCAAATCAAGCAATAGTGTTCATAGTAATACTGATTTAATTTAAATCCAGTGAAATTATTCTACCATATCTACAGAGAATGCAACACCTCACTTCGCAGCTGTCAGCCAGCGTTTCCGCCAGGTGGGTGTCTTGCCGTCATTTGACGCCCTTATTCAGCTCGGAACGCCCTGAACTCGTGCCGAGTGCGTAAAAAAAAAATTATTCGAGAGAAGATCGCGAGTTTTTATCGCTTGAAATTACGAAAAGGAAAAGGACATCGCTCTGTTGGAGGGGCAAAGGAGTCTGGTGGGATTATGTGATTGTGTGTGTGCATACGTAAAGAGATAGTATATATAAGGGACGGCGCAATTCAAAATTGTGTGTGTGTGCATCAGGGTGGGATTTTCACGGCGGCCATGGCCGTCGTAACCCCTTGGTCTGGCCGTTATGCCCCACAAATAATCGTACGTCCTACGGCCACCATGGCCCCTCACACTGTTAAAATCTCGAAGTTGCTTTAAAAGCGTTAGAACAGTGGTTTCTGAACTGCATTATGATGCGTTCACAACGGACGCGATGCAAATATTCGCATTGCTCTAACCGCTGGAGTTTCACGCGGCTGTCAGCTGTGTTTACTCCTGTCATTCAAACAGGACGCACTGGAGAGGGGGCGGGGCTTATATTAGGGATGGGAATTTGAAAGCAAATGTATATTCGACCCCCCAAAAAACGGTTAACCGGTTAACCGAAATGTACATATCCTATAAAAAAAAAAAATTGGGTAAAATTATTTTTTCCATTTTTAATTATTTTTTTACCCAATTTTTTTCCAACTATTTTTTGAAAAAAATACATGCATGTTCAAATAAGTGTAGAAACCAAGTCGAATTTGTCAAATGTATTGAACTGGTGATCACAGTTTGACAGCTATAGGCCTACAGCTTTCATGTGGAGGCGATTCACAATCAGGCCAGCTGTAGAGAAGACCCTCTCAGCTGGAACGGAGGTTGCGGGTATAGCAAGGTATTGGTTCTGTGCACAAGATGGCGTCTATCAACTTCCGGCGGCTGGGTGTGCGGTTGTAAACTTCCGGTCTATGGTGTGGAGTGGTTGAGCGGGTAGATAGCGATAGATAGATAGAGAGATAGAGAGAGAGAGATAGATAGAGAGATAGATAGATATATAGCGTACAGATAGCATACAGATAGCATACAGATAGCGGTAGAGCAAAGTGAGAAGGCTAACGTTAACGTGATGGCACTATTTTACACTCGATGTCTCCAAGACCTACCGAAGGTTAACATCAGTGATGTACATCGGCTGGTAAAAGCGTCAAGCTCAGCCCCGAGGAGCAAAAGAGAAAAGGGGTTCAAGATGTACATATCCAGTTACATCGACAATTATGAAGGTAAGTGACAAACAAAGCTGTAGTTACTGCCTAACTTTGACAACTTGACAGTGTTGATACAGTGTAAAGTGTTTTAATGATGTACTATTACGTTTTTTTGGATAACATGAATGATGTCCAATTCCCCACAGTTTCAAACAAAGATCTACCTTCAGGGAGAGTGAGCATCAGGGCTAGCTGTTACAGGTCCCTGAGAAAGCATGAAAAGCCTCACGATCTCAGAGTAGGGAGAAAAATAAAAAGTGTTCATCGGTTCAAAGCCTCAATCAGGTTCATGTTCTGGGGTTTTGATGTAGCTAAAATGACTGACATTTTGTTTTACTGTGTAGATTGTCTTTGAGAACTGCTCACCTGTGGAGATTGCAGTGACAAAGTGTTCCTGTGTAGCTGGAACAGCACTCTGCAACCACAATGTTGCACTGCTGTTCCAGACTGCACACTACTCCACACTCAACCTGGCTGCTGTACCCCCTGTCCTCAGCTGCACTGAAACAGAGCAGCGATGGCACAAGCCAAGAACCATGGTAAGTACAGTATGTGTTCACAACCAATCCACCCTTTAATGAGTATTTCCTTTGTGCCAAGAGCTGATTTATTTATGTTGCATCAATAACCTTTTCAATTAATGTGACAATTATTTTGTGTAATTAATAGGGTGTGAAACCAGGCAGAGTGAGTGACATGGTGTTCATTTCCACTAAGCCAAAGCAGTTTACAGTTGCTGACGGGGTAAGGTAATATCTATTGTCCTAAGTAATTGTATGTACAAATTTGTGATTGTTGTTTGAGTGTAAAATTGTTCTTAAAGTCCTAATTATCATATACACATGTTCAAAGGAGTACACGTTACAAGGCCGTGCGGGGGGAGCTGCCAGACCCAGATGTCCTCAAAGTCTGCGAGGCATACAAGGACTTCTCAGCAGACATCGCACCACTGATCACCACCATGGCTATAAGTGTGGACGTGCCACTGGTTAACTGCACCTTTGGAAAAGTTCAGGAAGGTAGCCCCAGCTCATACCAGCATCCACTTCCTCTTAGCCGGGTTATATTGCGTCACCCAGATACCCCTCCACCACCACCTCTACCTGTGGATGGCAATAGGCTGGAGCCTACCACCTGTGAGATTGTGTGCAGTCACCAACAGCACCTCCATCTACTGTCACTTGCGACAACATTGCTCATGGCAAGGAAAATCTAGGTGGCCACAAGGGAGCAGAGCGACAGTGTGGAATGGCACCGCGTTAGGAGGCCAAGAATAATTTCTTCCCGTTTCAGGGAAGTATGCCATGTTGGAGGTCAGAGTTCGGCTGAAAACTTGGCACAACGGATTCGGAAGGAAGTGGCGCAAACAGCGTCAATGAAGAGGGGACTGGCACTGGAACCGGTTGCCATCCAGGAATACTGCCGGATTAAAAACACTAATTACTGGCCGTGTGGGTTTGTCATTCACCCAGATGCCCCCTGGTTAGGGTCATCTCCTGACGGTCTGGTGTTTGACCCAACTGAGAGCCCACCTTTTGGACTTGTAGAAATAAAATGCCCAAATATGAAAAGTTATGTGGACTGTAGCTACTTACAAATGCAAAGTGGCACATTAAAACTGAAGCAGTCTCATAGCTATTATTGGCAGGTGCAAGGCCAGCTCCTACTCACAGGGATGGAGTGGTGCGATTTCGTCGTTTTTGCGGAGGAGGATATCCTTATACAGCGTATCTGCAGAGACTACGAGGTGGCTAAAACCATTAGGGAGAAGGGAGATTATTTTTATTTTTATTTGTACATGGACTGATATGCACATGGACTGATACATGTACATGGACTGATATGCACATTAGTGTACCACACTACATCATACTACATTACTGATCTAACATGAATATTTTCCTGTATATAGTTATTTCAATTGCTAAAACCAGAACCAAGTGTGTTCTATAAGTCAAAAAGATCCTTTACTCAAAGGACCTATGTGAGGAAGAAAGGGGTGTTTATTGGCAGACATTTAATGTCATATGACGTTATTCATTAACAAAAGTTGTGGATGCTAACTAACTTATCTTGCATTGATCTGTTCATCTGTTACATAAACTAGCATTACTTAAATATGCAGAGACTAATTGAAATGTTTAAATATGTATTTGTTTTCCCCGATATAACATCAACCTATGTTTTGTAAAAGTTTATTAAATGAATCTGTAAAAAGTTATCATATTGTGGATTTATTATATTATGTATTGTCCTATGTTATTTGTGTGTGCATTTGCTATCTATCTATCTATCTATCTATCGCTATCTACCCGCTCAACCACTCCACACCGTAGACCGGAAGTTTACAACTGCACACCCAGCCGCCGGAAGTCGATAGATGCCATCTTGTGCAACTAGCCAATAGCATGTATATATAAGTTTAATTTGGCATAGTTTGACCTCTACACCACACTCACTAACCTGGTCGAAATATTTCCACACATTACTCCTTTTTGACGCCATGTCTGTTGTGTAGGACTCTTCTTGGAGTGTAAAAAATTACCGGACTATGACTGGTAAAATATGTTGAATACCGGCAAAACTAAATCTCTCCTGTCAAAATGTCTATGTACTTTGCCGCCACACACGGTTGCCAAGCAGCGCTTATTGTTTTTTAGGCTGGCCACTCATGTGTCGCGAGTGTTGACAGGGGGCGGGGGAGCACGCTCATGAACTAGCGCCGGAACCTCGCAACGGCTGCGGAGCGCATTTGCGCCACATTTGGGCCTAAGATGAGGTTTGAGTCTGCGTGATCTGCGTGTAGGGAGGGGCAGCAGCCATATCATTAGCTAGAACTAGCTAGATCTGATGGATTTGGACATAAACACGAGTGAAGTATAACCGGACACGAGAGAGATCAGCACCTGCAGCTCTGCCCGCTGTGAGGGACCGGTGAGCGGAGCAAAACACACCTTTATACGTCACCTAACACATTTAGCT